TTATTAGGGCTGGGTAAAAATTGATTTAATCGATCTTGGATTGATTTCATTTAAATTTGGGAAAATCAATTCACTGGATGAGATCACTTCTTCCCCATGGAGTCTTGTGTGCGCGTCTGAAGCTCGTTTCTGTATTTTGTCACTCCTGGCTTGCCATATACAGTATTTACATCCGGTTGACGTTCAGTGCTAACATTAGCTTTCGATAACAAGTTGTCTGGATAAAAACAAAAGAAACTAAGGAAACACTAATGTTACCAGCCGACTCTCAGCATAACTTAAAGATAACAGAGACCATGAGGACTTTTGTTTGCAAAGATTTGCTCTCCTACCCTTTAGCGAAAACGAAGAAGGGTTTGACGAGCAGTTTGTTAGGCAAACTACGGTATGTAAACATCTGACTGAACTGTTCTCCACCGGCATGTTTAAAGGTCTTAAAGATGACATTCTAACAAAATCGTTGAGTTTTGTTATCATTAATATTTTTAAAGTTTAAGAAACRTGTTAATGAAATCCACAGTGATGAAATGTTGTAGTTGTAAATTATATGTATTAAGTTTTACTAATTTTTATTGAACATAACAACAGAAGCTAACAGAAACATTACAAATATACAGTTTTCATATTGTTAAAAGGAGTGGGCAGAAGTATAATTATATTAGCCCACCTTTTCTCCTGCAACCTTATTCCCATCATTTCTTATTTATCAAAATAATTATTAATTACTTAAAAATGAATGCATTCAACAACACTGTCACCTGCAATTCCTTTTTACTTAAAACCTTTTAAACTTGACAGTTTTCTTTCAAGATTAAACAATTTAATTTAAAAGTTTGTCCTTAAACCCTGTTGTTTATGTTGAAAAGAAAAAATGGGGATGTTGTATTTTGCAACAATATCAAAAAAACRTTTTCATTGAATCGAATCGTGATTAATCAATTCAGAACTTTATGAATCAAAACCGTGCAGGCTGAAGGCGTAGCTTTGCAGGGCCAAAAAACAAAAGAATAYCTTTGGTTAAAGTGACATTCAAGTACWTAAAGGTATAAAAAAAATTCCATCCAGTTTTTTAAATCTTGTCTGGTGGTCTTAAAGATCAAAGAAGACTTCAGCGCAAAAAATAAAAATAAAACAATCAGGTAAACAATGCAACAACAGACAAAGAGGCGATTCTGCCCCGAGCAGTTCCTGTATTTCATCACAGATGCAAATGAATATTTTTGTGGTTAAATAATATTCAATAACAAAATTCTTTGTTTACTGATTTTTATAATTGATTATTTTGAATAATCGATGCAGCACTACACATCTCACCTAACTTGTAAGGCCCCTCCTACATGTGGTGGGCCCACWGGAAGATGGACCTGTATAGATCATTTTGGTTAAACTCGACAGGACCCTCTTGTTAGTAGGGGTGTAAATCACCAGCTGTTTCACAATATGATATATCGACTTGCCAGGATGATGATGATGTTTCTTTATCGTGTGTCGTGATACGATTTCAATTAAACTAAACTCAGTGGTGATATAAATCCACATCTGGCATATACAGTATTGATGATATGGATCAATATTTTTGTTTTGCCTTGATGTAATTGAATCGTTARTAATTTAATTGATAAACTGTATGTGAATCAATTGCTACAATTCTAACGTATAGATTCCCGGTCACCAGGTACTCTCCAATAAGCCCCTCCCCCAGACCTGGCAGATCAGTCAGGCACACAAACTCCTCCACCACAATAAGGTGGTGATTCACGGAGGAAATTTGCTTCACTAATAAATGGAAACTCAACTATTGTGTTGTGCTCATTAACACGCTATTGTTGATTCATAAAATATGCAAAGAGTGGCCTCAGCTTCCAAGGCTAACTCTTCAGTGGACAATTCTTTGTCTCTGTCAAAATGTCTCTGAAAGAAAGTAGATAAAACAGCATTTGATAATACCTTGGGGGGCCTTTAATGAAAAGAAAACAAATTACATTAAATACAGAATTATAGTGTTTTTAATGTCAAATGTGTTGTTTGTTACCCAGGAGCTGCAGGAGTTGGTGCTGCTGTCGAAAGTGTCCAAACAGCTGCAGAACAARGCCTGTCTGCAGCCATGACGAAAATACAGGTGGGCCTTTTTCTTTATTGGATAGAATTACCAAAATATTGATTATTGTCTTTGTTGATGATAAACCTTAAGTTGTATTTTATATTAACAGGACTTTGTTTTTGTTTATTAATGTCGCCTGTCTGCATGCATTCATCGGTCTCCACAGGAGCTGTCTGCTCAAGAACAAACCACCTCATCGGAGTCAGAGTTCGACTTTCCTCAGGACGATGTGCCGTTCACAGAGTCGGAGTTCAGAGAAGGCGGTACAGACTTCACAACGGATCACTCAGGAAGCAGCGCCGACGCTGCAGCAGAGACGAACCACGTCGGTGGAAAGCAGTCCGTGTTCGAGGGATACAAAGATCCGAGTAAACACTTCAGCGGTCACACCAGGTCGTATCACCAAGACGCCAGGTATAAACAGCCTCTTAATGAGTCTCTGTCTGCAGTCATTTAAGGCTATTTAGGATAAGCTCTTGCGCTTTGTGTTTGTCAGGCTTTACCTTGGGCAGCATCAGCTCTACAGCCCCAGCCTGAGCAGACATGTGCTGCAGGAGATAAATGGTCAGCATCCAGCGAGTCAGTCCAGGAGCTACCATCAGGACCAGCCYTCAGTTGGAGGCCTGACAGCTGAAGACATCGAGAAAACCAGCCAGGGCAAGAGAGGCGACATGAAACCACACAAACAGATGGTAATTCCTGTTTGCAAACTTAAGTGCACACAAGTGTTTGTGTGAGCACTGGTTTACCTCTTACAGTTAGACGTTCCAATGAGAAGGTGTCACCACTTTGTGTTTGTTCTCAGTTGAGTGAAAGAGCCAGAGAGAGGAAGGTGCCGGTGACTCGGCTCAGCAGACTGGCTAACTTTGGAGGTACGGGAACATGACTGTCACTGTGTCTGCATCTGGGATGATTCACTGGCTGTTTATATGACTGAATCTGAAGCCGTGTCTTTTTAAGTGTGTGTGTTCAGGTCTGCACATATATTTATAGTGAAGTGAGTGAATGCAGCGACAATAGTCTGATTAATTGGAAAATGTATTTTACCCTCTACTTGTGAACTTTAGTTATCTGTATGATGATCTTGTTTATTTGAAGTTTGTTCTTACGTTTAAGCTCCTGTGTTATATACAGATGCTGATTAGGCTCTGTGTGCACCTCAGGCAGGTTCAGAAGGGCAGCAGCTTTGCACTTTAACTCCAGTCCACAAGCAGAACAGGAGGGTAGTGGTTAATGATGCAGACATCCTGTTTTGAACGGACTGTAAAAGTCCTGCCACCTCTATAGCAGGGATGTGCAGTGATTTACCAAATAGTCAGCAAAGTATATAAATTATAAAAGTTACTTTGATTATAACTTTAAAAAGCTGCAGCCTTTTCATTTAACCCCTCCAGTACATAATAGCGACATGTTTTAACGCCTCCACAAGGTGGCGATAATGTACAAATTCACTGGCAGTATTTTATTTTTTATTTTTCGTTAGCGAAACACCTCATAAATAAATTCAGTTATCCCACATCTGTTTCTGCCAGTGTAGTTTTAGGGTGTATTCATGCCAGGAAAATCATTTGGTMYGGACCAAAAGCAGATTTATTAATTAATTATTTTACGTTTGATGCAGTTTGCGTTCACATTGTGCTTTTTTGTGAGTGGACTATAATTAATAAACAAAACTACGCGAGTGATGATCATGGCTCCCATTGGACAGAAATGACTGGGGCGGGCCTGACCACAGACCTGTAAAGAAAGGTGGTGCTTTTAATACAACTGCAATACTATTTAAAAGCTCAAGAGCAGCTCATTCAAAGGTGTTTTCCTGATAATGTACTTATAATTTTGGGACGTGTTGGCAAATGTGTGTCGCAACCCAAAGTTGACAAGAAGCTCTGTGTGTTCTGATCCACAATGTTACAATAATTTGCAGACAGCAGAGGGTTTTTGTGTTACTCACCCTTTGCAGCTTGTAGGAACAAAACCAAACACCATCCTAGTTCCAAAGGATGTCGGTTTATTCACTAGTTCGTACATAACAGTGATCATGCCGCCGCTGCCTGATCAGTGCATGAGTGAGACCAGCATCAGAGTTGCCAGATAAAAACAAAAATTTGCTTTTCTATGCACATTTTCACCAAACACAACACTCCTTATCTTACAACAGCCTCCCTCAGCATAAACGACAGTTTGGGTCAAAATACATTAATTTTAAAGGGACAGTGCAACAGTTTACAGTATCCCATCTGGCCCTGCCTGGCACATTACTGCAGCGGTTCCATGCAAACAGGTGATTTTATTTATTTATTTCACTCCGATAAACACTGAGGGCCTAAAACTGCTGGTTCCAACATGAAAATGATATTGCTGTTGTGCTTAAAATGTTGTTTTGCACAGTGGAAATGTAAAAGAAAACGATTTTGCCTTTTTTGCCTTTCTGAACAGAGAGTGGCAACAAAAAGGGAGATTAGYGGCTTCCATCCAGCTGTAGAAGGGATTGAAATGGTTAACAGTGGCAGCTGTTTGTATACAAGTCATGAAAGCATTAAATAAAGAAATAAAATCAAGTGGTCAGAGGTAACTTATACTGTTATCAATGTAGAGTTATACTTGTTTAGTGTCAGTTTAGCTGGCATAATTAACACTGAATAACAGGGTTCCTGCAGATCCTTAAAAAGTCTTAAGTCATTGAATTCATCAATCCAAAAATAAGGCCTTAATTAGCCTTAAAATGTCTTAAATCAACCTTTCAGAAGTCTTAAAAATCCTAATACATTGTGAATAGGATGACGTCTCAGATACTAAAATAATTGGTAACATTNATTCACATGCAGACATTATCCTTTGACATCACTTCCTGTTATCTCACATGCAAATATCTCAACAGAGCATCGTGAAATTTGTTTTGTAATATGTTAATAATGTTTTTTCCAAAAATGCATTCATATTTCTTACAAAAATTTTGTCACAGGCACTTTAATAATAACAATAATGCATTAGTTTTATATAGCGCTTTTCGAGATCCTCAAAGACGCTTTACAATTTTCATGCATCATTCATTCACACTCACATTCACACACTGATGGCAGTAAGCTACATTGTARCCACAGCTGCCCTGGGGCAGACTGACAGAGGCAGGGCTGCCATGCTGCGCCACCGGCCCCTCTGACCACCATCAGTAGGCAAGGTGGGTGAAGTGTCTTGCCCAAGGACACAACGGCATGTAGGCATGGCGGGGAGTCGAGCCTGTGACTTGCGGGTCCCAAAGCCGGCTGCTCTACCACTACACCACAGCCACCCTTGGTTTAAGGGTGCAGTTTAAACCACTTTAAGGTTTTATCTTCAGCAAATTGGGGTTAAGACCCCACTGTGGGTCCTAATACTCCCAATTTTGGGTCGTTAGAGGATTTCCAGAAAATAAATTATTTAAAATTGACTGCTAAGATTTTTACTGTGTTTGAAAAAGTAGTTTGGTATGGATAAAAACGATTGGTCTATTAGCAATATTTGAATATTTCAACCAAAAATAATTAGATTCATAAGTTTTTGCTACAGTTCTTATTTTTTTGTCATTTGGGTTTATTGTGAAATTGGTCTTAAATTTAATTTCACTTGGCATTAAAAAGTCTTAAATTTAACTTGCCTTAAACTGTAGGAACCCTGGAATAAGTGAAGAAGAAGGTAATAGTATTGTCAATAACTAATCTGTAATTCACTCATTTTTATATTGTTATATTTCCTGCCAACCTTAAAAAATATTTATTTTTCATAAGTACATTGCCTTTTGAAGAGAGCCTCTTCCAGCAATCGGTAAAAACATTGGACATCCCGTGGAAAGCAGYAGATTTAGTCATTTTTAAGACAACAATCTGAGATCCTCTGCATTTTGCTGACTCTGACATACCTAAAAATATCTTTTGTCATTATATTGATTAGATGGAGAATGGGACTGAAAGTTCAAATATTTAAAGGCACTCAAATATTCTGACTCCCACTTCAGCACGTCTTCACAACAATGCTCTGTGGGGCGGGGTCTCTGCTGGGAGGAGCTTTATGCAAGTAGGCGGAGCTTTGTACCAGTGAGCATTTAGACAGCTCCACATGGCTCCCACAGGAGATTCAAGCATTTCTCAAACATGCATGAACGAGTCAAAACAACACTCTGGATTAGTTTAATATGAGGGACTGGGATTATAACATGATATAAAGCTCAAAAAAGTTCATTTTTGCAAAATACTCCCCTTTAAGAAAAACAACTGAAAATCCTGCCAAGTCCATTTTGTTGCCTAAGACAAGTGCAAATAAAATACAACTTTGAAAAGCTCTGAGCTATTCTTTAAATGTTATTTCCATAGGTTTTGCAAACCTATTTGAGGTTAGGTGTGGAGTTCAGGCAAACCGTATATGCTGCYTTGTTTTTGTAAACACCTGTCGATCTGTGGAGCCGAACGATGGACAGGCGCTTGTGCTCATTCTGGAAACATACCTGTCACTCAACAATGTTCTCAGAGGTACACACTGACATCATGTGCAGCACATTCAGTTTCATGTTATGGTCCATTTTAGTTCTGAACATAAAAAAAACACTTCAGGTTGCAGCTTCACTACCTCCTGTTGTTGTTTTTAAAGCTTCCCTGAAAGTGCTGTCATGTTACAACTAATAAAAAATGCTCAGTCATCATTTAGACACAACCGTGAGGCCCAGCACGTCTTTCTTTGTCCGCCACTGCATGTCAGGTTTGTTGCTTCACAGAAGCCGCTGACTGACAGATAACGTAATGTTAGGTTTCCTAACATTGATTTTTCGCAAACAGTTCCTCTGTTATTGTTTTCATTATCTTCAGGTTAAATCCTCAAGATTAAATGTGATAGCTTGTAGGCGGTGGTTTTAGTTGATTAAAAGATTAATCTCTTTTTTTACCACGTGCATTTGGTTTTATCTTCATGGAAAAAAACAGAATTAGCAGAAAACACGATTTAAGTATTTTTAAACACAAATGTCAGGGATAATCTGGCATTGAGAACACTGCATGATTGTGTACTATTTTATTAACTAAAATGATCTTTTGCAGTGGCTATAAATGTGGTATGTTTGTTTTGATGAACCAGTTGGTGTCTCTCTGCTTCAGGTTTAGCTGTAGGTCTGGGTATTGGAGCTTTAGCAGAAGTCGCCAAGAAGACCATCGGAATGAACGGCACAGGTAAAAAAAACACTCAGCTGAGTCAAATAATCTGTCTTTAAATGACCGGGGGGAATGACAAATGACGTGTGTGTTATAACACGTCACACAGATTTTGACCTGACCCTCTTTAGCCATGTTGCCCTTTAAAGCAAGCATCACTCCTCTGCTCTGACGACTTGCTAATCCTAAAACACAGGCTAATCTGAAACAGGGCATAGAGGCGTAAAACCTGTCTCGTTTGTACATCTGTTGGKCTGTATTTATCTTTATTTGTGCTTTAATCCCAGCGAGAACACTGAACACACTCAGGAGTGTGTGAGTGGAGAATCTCTCCAAGGCTGACCTCAGACGAACCAAAACACACGGCATCCGAYGACCTACTGACACAAATACACGCAGACACACACCTCAGGACAAACACACACCCTGTAGACTCCTGTAAACTACTCTGACTGCTCTGTGTGACTCTTTGGATGGTCTACAGTAAAGGAGTGATCAATTTGTTAGTCCATTTTCACAAAATTGTCGTTATTAAACCACAAGTTTGTAAGGAAAATRTGAATCCTTCTAATATTGAGACACTTTTTTAGTACAGGGTTATTTGTTTATGTTGTGAAGCAACTGGCGCCTTGCAGGATAATTAGAATATCCATCTTTGTCAGGCTCCGGTTATGTTTGTGGCCGAGGCAAGTTGTGATGGATCAGTCCTAAAGCAAGTTTAAAAAAATGTGGTGACCTCCCAACACAAATACTGACTTAAAGGGGCGATATTATGTGCTTTCCAAGCCTATATTTCAATTTTATACTCAAAGTAACTATGCCACATTTTCAGCTTATGAAAAAGCTATATATTTGTAAAAATCCCCAAAACAATTTACTTCTCATCTTGACAGTTTCTAAACGCCTTGAAATAGGTCTCTGTCTCTTTAAGAAAATCCAACCACTTCGGTCACKCCCATTTCAGCATGTAGCCTGCCGAAGTCACGGAGCGGGTGGGAGGGGGGGATGGGGGGGTTTCTGCCAGGATGAAGTTCGGCTTAAAGACACGTCCCAAAAGGCGTTTCTGGTCCAAAAGTTGTTTCTGGTCCCCACCTGTCGTTTTGCTCCTCAGCATGGCTTCCTAAAAACACTGCAGGATCTTTCAAACATGCATGAATGAGTCAAAGCAAGGCTTTGGGCATGTTTTTTTTATGGGAATATAACATTATAAAATGATATAAAACTCAAAAAAGTTGATTTTACATGATATTGCCCCTTTAAAACTCATCATTTCACAAACTAGGAGGAAAACCACATACTTTTTAATTGTGCTACTGAAAATTTACCAATCAAATCCTACAGTTTAATAGGAGGAGGACAAATAAAACAACTAAAATACCAAGGAAATATCTGCTTTATTTGACAGATTATAGCCTTGTTATGATTTTATTATTTAATATTTTTTCTGCCTGCTTTCAATCGCCCACTTTGTGTTCTATGGCTCCCTGCGTTAATCACTACAAGAAGATGTAAACTGCTGAGTGGAGTCTTTTTTTATAATTGAACCTAAATCCTCTCTTATTTTATTATTATTTTTTTGTGCTTCTCAGGTGAAAATAAGAAAGCGGTTCTGGACTCGAGCCCCTTCCTGTCTGAGGCCAACGCTGAACGCATCGTCAGAACTCTGTGCAAAGTCCGAGGGGCTGCGCTGAAACTGGGGCAGATGCTCAGCATTCAGGGTGAGCTACAAACACACTCCCTCGTGTTTGGTTTTTATTGGTTGGCTTGAAATCCAATCGAGGTGGTTAAAACGAAGCGTGGAAATGTTTTAGACGGATTTTTTTCAATTCTACTCCGACAGTTCACAAAAACGCACGGTGAGTTCAGTACATTTTACAACAAACTAACAAGAACCACACACACAGAGATCCATCTCAATTAATTTGAAGGACTATTAATCAAGTAGCTGCAGTTTGAAATCAATTAGTAAACAAGTCTTTAAGTTACATTTAAATGCGGTCAGATCAGGCTCCAGTCTGAGCTCAAGCACTTTGTTCCACATGAGTACCATAAACACTAAAAGCTTCACCACATTTGGTTTTGATTTATGGAACAAATAATCGCCCTGTGGTTGTTGCCCTGAGACGTCTAGACGGTTCATAATGTGTAAGATRGTATGATGAGAGTGCGCCGTCGATCGGACGGACATTTTATTGGCCCTGACTGCTCTGCTGTGACTGAGGGCTGTTCAGTTTAAACACGTTTGTATAGTTTCACGGGTTTTGTTCAAGGTTTTTCAATTAATGAGAAGGTGTATTGTGATCTTATAACACCTGACAGTGTCAGTTATAAAAAAATAAAATTGGTATTGGCCAAAATTTAAATCGGCAGATAAAAACGGGTGGACGTCCAGAAAACTGTAACCAGTGCACCCCTAATGAGTTCTGTGGRGCTCAGCCTATTTGTGAACAAGAAGTAAGAAAATGGTCATCAGTGGAATGAATGAAAAGCTGCGGTTACATGCTGAGATGTTTTAGCAGCTGTGTTCTGGACCAGCTGAAGATGTTGTGTATTTGAAGTGCCCCCCACCCCTGCCAGAAACCACAGGAGGRCCTAACCTTGTCTGCTCAGAGGTTATAAAAATAGTTCATTTGAATAATTAAAATTCTGTATTTTTTTTTTCTTTTCCAAACAAAGATTTGTACTTATTAACTTAATTATTTTATTATTTTGATAAAGAGATGTAAATTGATCGAGTCTTTGGCAGAGGTGGGGGTAGGGAGGTTTGGGGATGGGGGGAGGGTTGCTTAGTTTGGCTTGGAAGTAAGAAATAAGATAAGATAAGATAAAACTTTATTGATCCCACCGTGGGCAACTTTGCACATTACTGCAGCTCAATACAGGAGAGGGTGAGAAGATTAAAGAAAGATAAATAAAAGAAAACAATAAAAAAAAAACACAATATACACATGTGATATATAGTAATGTACATATACCAATGCGCGTATACATAAACACATATGGATATACATTTGTATCCATATATAAAAACTTAAAAACAAGAAAAGCACAGAAAAGTAGGAAAAAAGCTGGGAGCTGCAGGAAAATAGGTTGGGAACCACTGAGCTAACCGACTGGAAATAAAACTGTGAACAAGGATTTTAGGGAAGAGAAACCTCTGATTCTTATAATGTTTTAAGATGGCAGAATGATGATTTGATTGAATGTAATGTGAACATCAAAAGTGGTTCCAAGGTTTCTTGCTCCACTTTTGTTTTAGGGACTGAGATCAGCTATCATTATGAGTCTATAGAGGCACAATCCAATCATTATTCCCAGAAAGTTTCATCATAGTTTCATTAAAGTCCAGACGAGATAATTTTGCTAACACACGAGCACAAGCGAAAACACGTTTGCCCGCCTTCGCCTGTCCACTGTGAGTAAACATCCTCACAGTGAGGTGATGATCCCAGATCAGGTAGCAGCAGTAAACACGTCATCGCAATTTTGTTTTTGACCAGTTAACCCCCAGTTCGACCTCGCCCTGTGAGCGTTTTCCTTCGGTGTTCATGTTTCTCACCCACGGTGCGATCAGCGGAAAAAAGCTAACGCATTAATGAGAAAGAGAAGGACACGGAGTACCTCACATTTCCAGGCAGGTTTTGGCACCAGGATGGACCTGATCCTCGTGTGCAAGCTCCCTGTCGGAACTGGGACAGCTATTTTTAAAGTGGTGACAACAGAGTTTTGTTTTGTTTTTTCCAAGTAAAGACACTCTTGCAGTTTTCGAGATTTCGACATGAGTCACCCCACAGATTCTCCTCACAGCCTGGAAATAGTAAAGATGATCTCAGTACAATATGTAGAATAAAAACTGAGTTGACATTTATCCGTCACTGCAGGAATGCAGTTAGAAAACTGTCCAAATGTTGTGCCCTTTAGCACAGATCCAAAACGGTGTTAACCTTGTCAGCTGTTAATAAAGTTTTATTAGTAATTGTTTTATTCTCTTCAATGTCAGCCAAAAATAATCTTTGTAGCAGGGTGTATACAGTCTATAATTTTAAAGTGTTACGTGTGAATTTTAGGGATGTTTCTCTGTATTTGACAAGTCTGATAACACATAAGTCGGGTTCATTGGGCTTTTTCAGTTCAGTGTTTTTGCCTTATTTTAACAGGTTTTTATGTTTATGTTTCAGATGATGCTTTCATCAATCCTCAGCTTGCCAAGATTTTTGAGCGAGTGAGGCAGAGTGCCGACTTCATGCCCATCAAACAAATGACGGTAAGGATGTTTTCTGTTATGTAAATCTAACATATTGATAAGGATGTCTAAGTTTGAGTTCAGGTGCTGGATGAGGAGTTTTCTATGGAATAAATCAAACACAGACAGATATACGTTTCACTTTCGTGAAGTTTCCCTTCTGTATGTAATAGAGTTGATGCAATCCACTGTAAAAGTGACAAAAACAAAGTTATTGTATTGCAGTGATTAATTTTACCTATATGTAGAAAATGGCTACGTTCACACTGCAGGCAAATCCGACCCAAATCCGATTTTTTTTGACAGTCTGAACGAGACAAATCCGA